CATGTGCTTTTCATTCAGCGTGTTCAGAACTTGACCGCACAGAAATGTTTGTTTTGTTGGCTACGCTGTAAATTTTTCAAGTAGTTCTAAGATGTGCTGACAGATGGAGTATGTGTTATATATTTCGCGTGAACGGATGACGAGAGATGGTCGTGGAACGGAAGAACCGGAACATTGCATCTACTTTGAAAGGGAGTAATCATTCGCAAGAACAGGTTAGCTTAATTGTAAGACGTGTGATTGTTATTCGATACATGACAAGTTTCAAAATACGGCATTGTACATCGTCCATTCTGATGATCTTCATAACTTTCAACAAACTCTTCTCGATAGTACAACCACTTCTGCCATCTTTAGTATTTCACCATCCCGTGATCCTGTTCGAAGCTAATTTACTTTCGCAGACTATTCAACTTTGTTAAATAACGTACAATGCATTAAACTTAAAATCAGCATCGAACTTGTGGTTTGTACGAGTCCGTGGGTTGGATAAAGGCGGTTTTGTTTGTTTGTTTTTACAGATTTCACCTCTGTTATAACCAATATCAATCCGCGAGGTCTTTAATAGAAAGTTGATACTGAAGAAATTACAGATTTTTATAAACCTAAATATTCATTATCTCATTTCCCTTAAGTAACCCACAGTTTTTACTCAAACTCTGCTTAAAATTTACTACAAGTTTCATTTATTCTCGTGTCCAGGACCTCGAATGTCAGACCTTCACTGGATTTCTTTACGTAATGATTACTACGCCAGGTACCTTTGTTTGGGATGTCCCGGGGTCTAGTCTGGCGTGAGTTACTCGTGGCCTGACCGTAAGGTGTGATTTTACTCAGTTTCTCCATTTCCGCCTCCTTCCAGAGTCATACCCAACACTGGAGAACGTTCACTGACAATTTCTAGGACGGTGTTCGATTATAAAATAATGAATTTTTATTTTCGATATCTTTTACGAAACAGTTCTCATTGTGGGGTGTTGTTTCTCTGAGGGTAAAACGACCGAATCTTCACTGTCAGGGTAGAAGTAAGGGTTAGAATGCCGGTAAACGGTATTTAACCTCTACAGCTGAATCATTGTCATTAAGTATAAGATAAAATTACTCTTACTTTGTAATGTCGAGTTCGACGCGAAAATATCTCAAGGAATTGATACGGTATCGTTAAATAATTCGAGAGAAACGAACTGAGAACGAAGACGGATTATCAAATAGACCGTGTCTCCTTCTTTCATTACAGATTCCCATCGCCTGATGGGTCGTGAATTCGTCTAAGCGTGTGTGTTGTTTAGCACAGACGGAAGAGTTCGCCACTTGTCTGAATTTTGCACGCGCCATCTGTTAGCGACGTGTGAAAAGACTTCGCACGTGGAAGACTTCTTAGAATCCACCATTTTAACATCCCCCCTGGGCCTGGCTGCTGTTGGTAAGTGTCATAACATTGTCTTTATTATCTCTGTAATGCGGAGGTGCTCTCGACTTATGAGCGGTACTGTACCTGGACTGAAGGTAGCATCACGATGGACGTTACATGTTGGCTTAGGAACGCTCTGTCCCTTTAAAGCGCATTTACGTGTTTCGTCTGAATAAACAGCGATTATTTCTCAAAACGACGTCAGTCAACTCTTAATCGTCATGGAGACGCACTGTGATTTCTTCGATGTAGGAATTAAATTTCTAAATATTATTGATGGATTCTTTGGTGCGTCCGATGTAACGGGAAGTGGTCGAGGGGTTTTTCTCAAAATAGGGCGTGTGAGTGTTCACTACGTTCGTCTGGCTCACGATAGAGGCCAGTGGCGGCGTTGAACCTGGGAATTATGTCTGCTCAGAGACTGTTCAGATCGTTGCAAATTTTACCGATGTTCTAAACCAATTCTTTTGCGAGTTCCATGGAATTATGAGCTCTGTTTTCTCACCTACCGAATTAACGCAGCCCACAGGAACCTGATGAAGGCAGATCGGTTGATTCTACGTTCTGCCCGATGAAACGCGACCATCTTCATGAAGAGCCTTCATACTTGGAGAATGTGGATGTGACTCAGAACAGCATTTTAGGGGAACAGTGGCAAAAAAAAAGGTATGAGGATTGCGGAGCTAAGAGGTGGGAGGAGAAGAGGTGTCTGAGTCAACCGGAAGTGAAGCCGCCGCCATTTTTTTAAGAGAAGGGCCGGAAATGTCTAGTGGTTGCTGTGTTAGTCACTGTGATCGGCTGACCTTACATTTCGGGGCGGGGGGAAGGGGTAAATTAGCTGTTCCTGCCCGCGCACAATGAAACGCTGGCTTCAACCTTATTGGGTGTTTTCACCTCAAATGGAATGACGAGATCTTGTTAACCCTTTGAAGCCCGAAGCTCGTCTTAATAATTTCAGTCCGTACCGCGAAGAAAACACCACACTTCACCGTTACAAGGATCGAAAATAATATTTTAAGAATCCAGACCGTACCGCGAAGAAAACACCACACTTCACCATTACAAAGATCGAAAATAATATTTTAAGAATCCAGGCCGTACCGCGAAGAAAACACCACACTTCACCATTACAAAGATCAACTGGTTTACCGTTTGAAGCCGAAACATCTGAATAATATTTTAGGAATTCAGTACGCCATGTTACCTATTAGGCGATCGCGTATTATAACGTTGAAGGTAGAACTGGAGAGACGTAATAATGAAGTAATGGTACGCGTTCTTCAAAAACATTTAATCGAAAACACTTG